TATGAGTATATTGACTGCATGTGTTTAAGTGCACCCATGTCATGCAGTACCAATGGAGGACAGAAGAGGTTGTCGAATCCCCTGGAACTGGAGCTATGGACAGCTGTTAGCCGCCATGCGTGTGCTGGGAATCAAAACTGGGTCGTCTGCAAGAGCAGCCAGTGCTCTTAACCATCTCTGCAGCCCCAAGGATGAAATTTTTAATTGTTTTTTGGTCTTTCTTTTTTTTTTTTTTTTTTTTTTGAGACAAGGTCTCCCTGTAGCCTCAGCTTGCCTGGAACTACGTAGATTAGGCTGGCCTCAAACTCAGAGATCCACCTACCTCTGCCTCCCAAGTGCTGGAATTAAAAGGCATGCACCACCACACCTGGCTCAAATGGGTAATTTTTTAATGTAAGCTATGCATTCATTTAGCATACCTTGGTGTGCATGTGTGCATTCATGTGTTTACATGTGTGTAAAGGCCAGAAGTCAGCACCTGGTGCCTTCGTCTATCACTCTCCACTTTATTTTTTGAGACAGGGTCTCTCAGTGAACCTGAACCTCATCCATTTGGCTATGCTAACTGGCCAATCAGCTCCAGGGATCCACCTGACTCCACCCGCCAGCACTGGGGTTACAGATGCATACCAGTGTCTGGCTTTTACATGGGTGCTGGTCACCTAAACTCGGGTCCTAATGGTGCACTGCAGGCACTTTACCATCTAAACCACCTCCTCAGCCTTCATTTAGCAACTCTTTTTAAAAAGTTAAGTCTTGGGGGCTGGAGAGATGGTTCAGTGGTTGCAGAGACCCAAGTTTGAATCCCAGCAACAACTGTCTGTATGTAACTCCAGTTCCAGGGGATCCAATGGCCTCTTCTGTCCTCCCAGGCATTGCACGACAAGGGTGCACTTACCTACATGCAGGCAATACACTCATACACATAAAATAAATTTAAAAAATTAAGTCTTAGCAGGAAACCTTGGTGGCCTAATAAGCCCCACAAGAACACCAAGCGATGCTATTACCTCCATTTTAAAATATAAGGAAATTAAAAATGAGAGAAATTACATATTCTGCCCAAGGTTACAGCTACAGGCATATTTATCACCATAAATCAAATCACAATCCCTGGCCAGCTACTTAATAACCTATCATCTTGGGTTAATCTCTGGGCCCCAGTTTCTTCTCTAAACCAATACTTATAACTTAACCCTTATGAGTGTTGTATGAGCTGGGTGTGGTGGCACATGCCTTTAATCCCAGCACTCAGTAGGCAGAGGCAGGTGGATCTCTCTGAGTTCAAGGCCAGCCTGGTCTACATAGTGAGTTCGAGGCCAGCTGGGGATACAAGAAGACCTTGTCTCAAACAGACCAAAAAAAAAAAAAAAAAAAAAAAAAAAAAAAAAAAAGTGTTTTATAAGCAAAATATTTGTAAACTGCTTATGGAGGTGTCTGTTTACAGCATATGTTCAATATTAGTAGGGAGTTTTACTGTTATTAGATATTACTAACATTCCTACTTGTCAAATTTTAATGGTTCCAAAACTGAGTTTTAAGGTAAATACTTTAAAATCTTATGAGGAAAAATAAGCACTAATTACATTTAGCTATTTTGTGTGTGTATGCATGTTGGCACCCATGTGGAGGTCAGAGGACAACTTTTGAGAACCGGTTCTTTCCTACCACTATGTGGGTCCCAGGGATGGTACTCAGGTCATTAAGCTTTGTGGCAAGTGCCACTGACCTACGGTTCGTGGCTCCAAAACAGCATTTGAAACTGAATTAGAAACTTAGAAATGATGAATACTTCTGCCACAATTTTTCAAGTATTTTTGTACTTCCAGTTTTTCCATTTACAGCTTATCAAAGAACTAAAACATCTATAGGCTGGCCTCTGACCGCCACATGCATGCCATGGTACATACAAAGGCATGCAGGCTGACATGCAACTAAACAATGTAGTAAAATTCTTTTTTAAAAGTTAAAACATTTAATAGGAAAAAACACATCCAACTCACAATGGTCTTTATATTTTATAAATGTTCATCTATTTAAAAGTAGATTTAGCTATACATGATGGTGGCACACTCCTACAGTCCCAATAAGGCAGCTGAGACTGAACAATCAAGCCCAGGAGTTGAGGACATCCTTGGCAACTAGGAATAATAGTAGTATTTGCCTAGTACATTCAAGGCCCTAGGTTGAAGCCTCAATACTAAAAGGGGGGAGGGGGAGACCATTTTGGGCAACACACTGTGACAGAAAGACTAATTTATTTATATTTTTGGATTTGGAGTTTTTGTGTGGGCAGGGCGCTATAGCTAAGCAAGTACTCTACAACATTTTTCTATTAACTAAGTTGCTTTAAGATGTAAACACCCCCAATACTGAATGAAATCTTGAAATTTCTTTTGGAGATATTTTCAGATTTAAAAAAAGTTGTTAATTTTATTTTAGTTTATGTGTATGAGTGTACTGCCTGCATGTAGAGGGTGACAGATTCCCCTGGAACTGGAGTTATGGATGGTTGTTAGCCACCATGTGGGTGCTACAAATCAAACCCGGAACCTCTGGAAGAACAGCAAGTGTTCCCAACTGCTGGAGCCATCTCTCCAACCCCTCAGATTTGTTTTTTAATGATGTGTTTGTGTGTATGCCTGTGGGTATATGACTGTAAACACAAGTGCCCACCAAAGCCAGAGGCACTGGGTCCCCCTGGAGCTGGGGTTATAGGAACATGGGTCTTCTGCAGGAGCAATACACAATACACTCCTAACCACTGAGCCCCAGAATTCTCTGAATTCTTTAAAAATAATTTCTCACTTGACATTTGTGGGCATAAAAAAAGCATTTTAAATATTTTATTTATTATTTTTATCCTATGTGTATGCATGTATTGCCTGCATGTAGGTAAGTGCACCCATGTCGTGCAGTGCCCACGGAAGACAGAAGAGGCCACTGGATCCCCTGGAACTGGAGAACAGTCAGCTGTCAGCTGCCATGTCGGTGCTAAGATTTGAACCTGGGTCTTCTGCAAGAACAACCAGTGTTCTTAACCACTGAGCCATCTCTCCAGCCCCCCAAAGAGCATTTTAATCAACACTTTCCTAGCAAGTTTTACAGTAAATTATACGAGTTATATCCATGCTTAGGCACTTTATTTCTTAGGAGTTTTTAGGAGCTGCAATTCTATTTGCCTAGTTCTTTACACTTTCCAAAGCAGTTTCATATCCAAACTGTCATCCAAAGGTGAGACATGTAGCCAACTTTCATTTCCATTAAAGATATGGGAATCAAAGTTACTGTGCCAGACACAGAATTCTACAGGATACACTTACCAACTGCCACTCCATCCCCTGAAAGCTCTCTTGCAGGGCAAAGTGAACCCTGCAACTAAATAATATGTCAATAGTATGACTGCCAAAAACTACAGTAACTTCTATCAAAATACTCCTGCCTTATGGCTCTTGGAAGATAAGTTCATTGAACCGTTAAGATAGTAAGGTGGAAGACCAATGCTGGCTGACACCCATTTTCAGATAGGTCAGAAAACTTCTGTTGTGGATGGCTCATTACAACACACCATTCCTGGGAGCTTTCTCATACATAGTCCAGCACCTGGCTCCTTTGTGCACCCTGGCTGGTACAAAGGAGACTTCCACACAGCGTTTTACTTCTGCTGTAAGTTTAATTATAGCTAATGCACAACATAGGAATTGATTCTTTTCATGCCTCTCAAACACTGCTGGAAGATATACAAGGATTTTACATATCACCCTAATTCTTCCCCCTTAAAAAACACAACACCCTAATTATTGAAAAAATTTTTAACAGAATCTTCTATTTCCTCAGCATAAATAAAGAAGCTGTGGCTCACCTTTGTCCTCTCAGCTTTCAACCTTCAAGCTGTTTAACTTCCCACAACCAGCAATCGTTTGTATCATGACCAGCAGTTAACTTCCTACTGTCACAAATGTGTCTTCAGGTCCTGGCATATGGGACTTAATCCACTAAGGATTAGGGTGTTAGTACAGTGGACCAAGGCATTCACGGTACAAAAACTCACCGCAATTATTACCTTACATTTGACACATCAAACTTCCCTCTCCCATTTTATACACATCTTAATTTAACACAAGGCCATCAGGTATTGTTGTATCTATTAGTGGGGACTGAGCACAAAAGGCAAGAAAATCTCCCCCTAATTCCCAACGCAACAACTTGCAGATGAAGTGCTTGAACCAGGGCTGTAACCTTCACTACGAAACCAACCGTCTAGTCCTCAACCCCAACGTGACCATTCAACTACCCGTATGACCTTGGGCCAGTCATCTCATGCTGCTAGGCCTCAGTTTCCTTCACTGAAAAGTGAGATATGCGAGGTGAGCTTTCGATTTGATTTGTCTGCTTTTAAGGTCCAGTGACTATGTGACTGGATTACCCCACCACCGACCGGACAGGAGCCTAAAGTTTCTCAAGCGCTACACGTTCTAGGACATTCTCCTTACTCTTCGGGGGCAAGGGGAGGGGGGGACCATGGTCCAGTCTTCGCTCTACAGGGTTTCTGACGCTGAACCTATAGCGCTAATGCTCTACAATCCTTAGCGACCGGCTTCACCTTCCCTTACTACTAGGCCCGATTTCAACTCCTTACCTTTCCCGGGTTACTCGGTAACCCTCGAGGTGGCCCAAGCAGCCAGTAACAGGCCTAAGAAAGCTCTAGAAGCAAAGCCACCTCAACAAGTTCGCTCTCTCGGAGGTCAAGCGACCCCAAGGCACCTGCCACGCCTCCCGACCCCGCCACCTCGGCCCGGGCCTGCCCCGCCACTCTGGCCGTTCTCCTCACAGTGCCACGCATCCTCCCGGGCCTGGACCCCTCGAAAGCCTACCCGACCCCACAGCCGTCGAGGGGCCGGCCACGCCCGATCTCAGCCGCTGCGCCGCACTCATAGCCTCGCCCCCCCATCCCGGAGTCCTCCCAGGCCCGAGGTCCCCGCGCAGGCGTCTCGTCTCACCTCGAGCCTCCCGGGGACCACAGGCGGCCCCCGCACCTTCTCCCACCCGCACACCTGGCCGCGCGCTGCAATGGAGACAGCGGCGGAGGCGGCCCGACCGTCACGTGCCACAGAAGCAAGAGGCCTCGGCTACAGCCGCCGCACGAGCAAGTCTCACCCCCCCCGAAGCCCAGCCCTGCGTCCGCCCCTCGCTCCTGAGTGGTTAAGACGAACGTAAGGCCCCACCCCCTCGAGCAAACTCTGCTAGTGTATTGGTTGGCGCGTCCGTCGCTCTACGCGTCTTCCCATACGCCTCCTAGGGCTATTCTTCGTGGAGCGTGGGGATTGGCCTAGAGCGAGGCAGGAAGTGGCTGATGATTGGGCAGGAGGGCGAGAAGGCTAGGGCGGGCGGGCGCGCGCGTTCCTGGGGCGGGGCTGGCTTGGCCCAGGGTCTTGCGTCGGGTTGCCCTGGAGTCGCAGTGGGCACGCCGCCGGATGTAGCGAGCGTACGCCTCCCCACCTGTCGCGTTTGGAAGAAATGCGGACCCAGCCTCCGCTGTGCTTAGCTGCTGGGCTCTTGGACTCCTCAGCCCGGGTGGAGGTGGGACCCGACTTCTGAGCTGCAAGTGCGGGCCGCGGGGGGCCGCTGACCCCGCCCGTCTCTGCGCTCTGGCGCCAGCGTTCCTGCAGAGTCATCGCCCTGCGCCCAGGAGTCTGCGGCCTCTAATAACAAAGCAGTCTAGTCACAAAAATACAACCTCAAGTTCGGCACCCTCCGAGTTAAGATTAGGCATGCCCTGGCGACAAGACAGAAGAAAGGATGGTGCTGTGACTTAAAATGACGTTTAAAATGCACTCACTTTCCGTTTTCAAAGTGTCCGAGGATTAACTACCTCTTTGGACCTCCTGATCGGCTTCGATTTTGTTTGGTGAATACTGAGGGGAGAAAATCAGCAGGTCTATCACCTATTTAACTAAATTAAACCAGCCCTGTTATTACCTGCCACCCCAAAGGGAGTAAGGTTTTGTTCTTGAGACAGTTTTGGAACTGCCAATTCCCAGTTCATAATTTTTGTTTGGTGTTGGGGGGGTGTGGTGGGGGGGCGGGGGGGTTCTGTAGCTGGCCTGGAAGTCGCCATGTAGACTACGCTGGCCTCCCATCTCGCCAAGACCCACCGGCCTCTGCCTCCGCCCCCTTCCCCTGCCCTTGCCCCTGCCGGGATTAAAGGTGTGCACCACTATGCCCGACTTAATATGCCTTATTTGCTTTGGAAAGAGGCTATTCAAAGCAAAATAACATTTTGAAGCCAGATGTGATCGAACTGTCTTAAGTCCCAGCTCCCAGGTTCTCAGGAGGCTGAGGCAGAAGGATCTCTTAAACACATTTCTTAAATACATTTTGGGCTCATTATTTGGAACAAAAGTGGGGGCAGTACCTAAGAAGCTAGAGAGGAGGGAGATGGCTTAGCGGTTAAGAGCAATTTCAGCTCTTCCAAAGGACCCAAGTTCTCTTTTTCAGCATCCATGTCCAGTGGCTCACATCTGCCTATGACTGGTGCACCAGGAACCTGAAGCCCTCTTCTTGCCTCCACGGGCACTAGGCACATATGTGGTCAGTATACACATGCAGGCAAAACATAATTTTTTAGAAATTATTTAAGATGGTTTCTAGCTTATGTTGTCCAAGCTGACCTTGAACTCCTTAAAGGAGCAGAACAGCTGGTGCAGGAGGGCTGGATGTCAGTGTGAAGAGACTGCTGTGGAGGATCTCCATCTGCAACTGACAGAAAAGGAGGTGGGACTTGGACCACACCTCACAAGATACTCAGGATTTCTCTAGGTCGAGAAACTGGAGGTTCTTCAGATGAGGGAACAGCATGTGGGAAAGCAGCAGAATGAGTGTTTGGGGGTCCATATACAAGAGAATTTGAGGGGCCAGCAAGATGGCTCAGGGGGAAGGGCTCTTGCATCCAGTCCTCATGACCTGAGTTCAATACCTGAAACTCACATGGTGGAAGGAGAGAACTGACTCCTGAAAGTTGTCTTCTGACCACCAGAGACACATGCCCTATGGCACCTGTGCCCCATTAGCTGTGCACCTTCAATAGTAATAAATATGAAAAGGGTTTAGTTAAGGGAAGGGTGTTAGGGAATGTGATGAGTGAGCAAAGGTCAGCTACAGTTGGGTTATGACCAGGCTTTGAAAACCTACCTAGCTAGTGATTTTGCATAGAAATATTTTAGATTTTGGTTATGACTGAGATGTTCAGGGAGGCATTATTTTCATACTATTCCAGGTAAGTCTGACAGCAGCTAGGAGGCTTGGATACAGGGGCTGGATCGGAAAACAGCAGGGTTATAGAAACAAAACCAATGAATGTTGAAGCTGAGAAATAGGCCATGAATTCAGAAGGCTGTGGAATGAGGAACCAAAGCAGACAGTGACAGCTGAGCCTGGACAGCTGGAGGTGTACTGTATAGACCTGAGCACAAAGTCCAGTGTGGCTCATCCCACCTCTGGGCCCAAGACAGACTACAGATGGGGATGCTTCAGCAAAAGAAAATCAAAGAGGGACCCAAGGACAAACCCTAAGAATGAGATTCTTAATAATCCAAAAGGTAGGGGCTGGAAAGATAGCTCAGCAGTTAACAACACTGACTGTTCTTGCAGAAGACCTAGGTTCGAATCCCAGCACCCACATGGCAGCTAACAACTGTCCATAACTCCAGTTCCAGGGGTTCTGACAGCCTCTTCTGTCCTCTGCGGGCATTGCACGACATGGGTGTACTTACCTACATGCAGGCATAACACTCATACACATATAAATAATAAACTTTGAAAAAAAGTCTTAAAAATCCAAAAGGTACTGTGAGGTATTATTAAATAAGTAGGGGGCTCAGCAGTTAAGAGCACTGGTTGCTCTTGAAGAAGACCCAGGTTCAGTTCCCAGCCTAACAACCTTCCATAGTGCACCTACATACATGCAGGCAAAACACTCATACACATAAAAATTTGAATAATTGATTAAAAATATATAATGAGAAGAGCCAGATGTGATGGCAAGAGTCTGTAGTGCTAGACACCCTGGAGGGTGAGGTGAGGCAAGGGGACTGCTTGGTCAACGTCTAAGATCCAGTCTCTTAGAAGGCTGGAGGGGTGGAAGGGAGAGAGGAACAAAGACAGGAGGGATGAGTTTAGTTTTCTTTGTTGCTTTTGGCTCTTAGATGTAGAAGCCACTCTGACTTTATGGTACTATCTGTAAGATGGAGAGGATATGGATTTCAAAATAAATGATTTATATCCATTTTATAGTATACACATCCTCTGTCCTAGAAATGTCCACGTAGACTCAGTGGTTCAAATTCCCAGCACCAAAACCAAAAACCCAGGGCTGCAGCTCAGTGGTGGAGTGCTTGGATGGCATTCCAGAAGCCCTGGGTTCCAACCCAGCACTTCATAACCCAGGTGTGGAGGCTCACAGCTGTAATTCCAGCACTCAGGAGGTGGAGGCAAGTAGATCAGAAATACAAGGTTATCCTCAGTTACACAGTGAGTTCAAGCCTAGCCTGGGCTACAATGTGATCCTGTCTCAAACAAAAAATGACTATAAATAAAATTTTTGATCAATGTGTACTCCATATACAGTTACTTCCCATAGATTAATTTCTCCCTCTGCCCTTAAAAACCTCATTGTTATCATCTCCAACTTCCTTTACTAGATTGGAGCCCATAGCTAGCAGTGGCACCCACATATCCACCTTGTCCTTTCTTATTGGTTACACTAGCAATACTCATTTCTCCATACGCACAGATGCTGTCAAATTAATTGGTAGGGGAAAAAGCTTATTTTTTTATAGTGAGATTAAACATTTTGCATGTCCATTAATCATGTATATTTTGTCTGTCAATGTCATTTGTCCAATTTTTTATTGCAGGGTTTGTCTTTTATTGGTTTGTAAGAACTCTTCAGTCTAATTCCAGCTGAGTTATTTCAGATGGTTTATAAGAAATCTTTATGCATTAAGACATTCACATGTCTACTACTATAGTCCATTCTCAGCTTCTTTAAAAGTTGTTAAATTGCAGCTGGGTGTGGTGGTACCTTTAATCCCAGAACTCTGGAGGCAGAGGCAGTCAGATCTCTGAGAGTTCAACACCAGCCTGGTCTGTGTAGTGAGTTCCAGGCCAGCCCTGTCTCAAAAAGACCAAAACAAAAGTTGTCAAATTGGAAGCTTTTTTAAAAAATTTCCTTCCTTCCTTCCTCCCTCCTTCACTCCCTCTCTCACCCCCCTTCTTTCCTCCCCATCCCTTCCTTCCTTCTTTGGTTTGTGTTTTGTGTGTGGTGTAGGGAACTGTATGTGTGTGGTGTGGTTCAAATGTGTGTTTATATCTGTGTGTGGAGGCAAAAAGAGGAAGTCAGGCATCCTCATCACTCTCCACCCTATTCCCTTGAGTCAGGGCCTCTCACTGAACCTGTAGCTAGGCTAGCAGCCAGGAAGCTCCAGCCATCCTCCTGTGTCCCCCTAGCAACACTGGAGATGCAGCTGTGTGCTGACCAACTTTTTATGTGGGTGCTGAGAACTTGAACTCAAGTCACCATGTCTACCCAGCAAGTGCTCTGACCTGCTGAGCCATCGCCCCAGCCTCCTTTGTTTTTTAGGATATGTTTTATTTCTTCTTTGACAATTTCATACATGTATGGTTTTTTTCTTTACAAAAAATATTTTGGCCGGGTGTGGTGGCACATGCCTTTAATAACCCAGCATTTGGGAGGCAGAGGAAGATGATGTCAGATTCCCTGGAATGGAGTTACAGGTGGTAGTGAGCCACCTGATGTGGGTTCAGCCCTGGTTTTCTGTTAAGAACAACAAGAGCTCTTAATCACAGAGTTCTCTCTCCAGCCCATGTGTGCATATGTGTTTGTGCTTGTGCATACAATGACATGCATGTGGAAGTCAGAGGACAACCTGTTGGAGTTCTTTCTTTCCACCCTATGGGTCCCAGAGATTGAATTCAGGTCCTCAGGCTAGGTGGAAAGTGCCTTTACCTGCTGAACCATCTTACTGGTCCTATGTTTTTGTTTTTTGAGACAGTGTCTCACTATGTAGCCGAGGCTGGCCTTGTACTTGAAGTCTTTCTGACTCAACCTCCTGAGAGCCAAGATTACAGGTACATACCACCACACCAACCTGGGGGTTTGGGG